GTTTTTGTATTAGACCCGTCGTCCATTTATTTGTAAGTCAATGTTTAGAGTGCAAAAATGATAGCACTTGTAATATTTATCCAATCTTGTGTTCACACATCGTCGTTAAATCTTATTTTCTTTTAATACATTTTAAACTTTTTGTTTATCGTAATAACATCATAGTTACAAGTCACGAAAGTAAACCTTATACCGCTGCTATATGGTAGCTTCTTTTACGGAGAACTAAGTAAACGTCTCGAATTCAGCGTCGTGCAGCTATTAACCGCTAGATGGCAGCACAATGATTGATATTTCAATTTAAAAACCAAAACGTCGTAACTTGCAATAATAGGTATTGACGGTGTTGAACTTTTAAAGATATACCAACAGGGTAAATTGGTAATTATAGTAACAGCCCAGAATTTATTATTTCTTTTTAAATTAGAACTTACAATCAATCACTAACAAAAATTCATAGGGTTTCAAATTATGAATCGAGGCTAAAGGTATTCCATTTTTTTTTGTTCTTCCGTGTTATACATCACAGTAAATATATAATATATATAATATCTTTATGTACTCTTGGTTGTATATATCTGGTGATAGCCAGTGAGTGGAGGAATAATGAACACCAGAATACAAGCATTGCTTAGATTGGGATTCAAGAGTTTTTAAAACCTTTATGTAAGTAACATGTACAAACATAAACTTAATACTTTAATATAGCGCACTGTTTGCCTTTATTGTATGTGTACCTAAAAGTAATAAATGTAATTATTAATTTGAGATCAGGTAAATGGTGTGTTGTCTGACACATCATTATTAATGAAAAGGCACTTACAAGACGAAGAAGCCGAGAAGAACTTTAAGAAGTCGAGACTCATGGGAAGGATGAACATCATTATAATAATGAACATCGACACGACGCCATCTTTAACTTTCCTGAAAATCGAACAACAATACTGATTGTAATCAGAAATATTTGTTAGCCGGGTTTAGATCAAGTTGAAACCCATTAACGCCCAAACTCGAGGGCAAAAACTATTTACAACTAATTATAATAATAAAATAAATAATAACGCACACACTCAACATAGGCCCGCACTAGGGAAACCCTGTGTTGCGGGTGCCATGGACACACACATAGACAACCACAAATTACACCCAAGCTCACGAGAGAAATAAATGTAGGCCATACAAATATTTCTCCCGGCCCGGGAATCGAACCTGGGACCTCTGCGTGGCAGTCCGGCATGGTAACCGTTCGGCCACAGAGGCAGTTTTTTTTGTAATTATTTGTTGTAAATCTAGTTTTGTTCAAATTGAATGAATGATATTAAATTTGCATTGAATTGATATTCAATTATTTTTGTGAAATTACTAGTTTGTTATAATTATTAACACAAAGATCGAACACACAGAAAGAATTCATTCGATCCGGCCGGATTCGAACCGACGTCTTCTAGCAAACCGTGTCAGACGCTATACCAACTAAGCCACGGAACAAACCAGTGCACCTCACGGATTTTTCTATGTGCTTGTTGTCGAATCTTTGTACTCGATTTTTCAACGAGTTTTTAGCCGTAACGCCATCTATGACAAATCTATGAAAGTATTTCGTCACCCAGTTAGGTTACTTTACGGCTACCATGTGATATTATTACAAAATGTTTATTGCTTTCCTATTAGATCAATTCGCTGGAAAATCTCATTGAAATAAGTCGGTATAAAAATCGTTAGATCGCTTGCACTTGAATGGATCTTCATTGAAATTGAATCCTAATGTCGTACATCCTTATTAGTACAAATTCACAGGATTGCAAAGTGAGTATTGTGTGGGTCGCCTCTTTTTCGTCAAAATAATCTTTTTTACATTATAATTATTAATACAAAGATCGAACACTCAGAAAAAACACTCAGAAAAAATTCCTTCGATCCGGTCGTATTCGATTTCATACTTATACCTACACATACACATACCGTGTCAGACGCTATACCAACTAAGCCACGGAACGAACCAACGGACCTCACGAATATTTCTATGTGCTTGCGTCGTGTCTTTGTACTTGGTCTTTCGACGACTTTTTAGTCGTAGCGCCATCTATGAGAAATCTATTGCAGATTTATCACCCAGTTAGTACCTTTACAACTACCAGTCCTGGCGAGAGATGTCGCTATTCATTGTATTCATTAAATTTTTATTGAATTGATATTCAATTATTTTTTGTGAAATTACTCCACTAGTTTGTTTTTTACATTGTAATTTGTCGTAAGAATTCGCCGTTTCTGACCACGATTTTGGGCAGAAATAATAATAATAACGCACACGCGTACAAGAACTAACAAATGCTGAACTGTTAATATAATTTAGACTTTATCCTGTTGTGATTATCGTTGAAAGATCAATATGTAATATTGCGAGTTACGAAGTTTTGATTTTATATTGAAATTTCGAAATTTAAATCAATGTGCTGTCATCTAGCGGTAAATAAATGAACGACAACGAATCTGGGATGTTTTCTTAGTTCTCCAAAAAAGAAGCGACCATATAGCAGGGGTATAATAATCATAATAATGATAACGCACACACTCAACATAGCCCCGCACTAGGGAAGCCCTGTATCGTGGATTCCATAGGCGCCCAAACTCATGAGAGACATAAATGTAAGCCATACAAATATTTCTCCCGGCCCGGGAATCGAACCTGGGACTTCTGCGTGCCAGTCCGGCATGGTAACCATTTGGCCACGGAGGCAGTTGAAATAGGTTAAAACCTTTTGATGGTTAAAGATAACGCTACGGGAAAAGTCGTTAAAAAATCATATAATAATAATTATAACATATGAAGGTCTCACATGGTTGTCATGACGTCAGCCCAGCCTGGCATGAAGCCGGGCTTGCGGAAGATGTACATGAACACGGCCAGCAGGAACAGCATACCAGATGCCTGCAATTATAGACAAAAAAGTTTGGAACATATTATTTCTTCATTCTCCAGAAATAGATACCAAATGTCATTTAATTTGTTTGAAAACTATTCTGCCAAATCATTACGATGACAACTGCCTTCCGATTGGCCAGCCCGAATTCGAAACAATTGACGGGTGTCGCCAAGTGTTTCACTTCAAATCGACCAATTTAACTTAAGCTTTGTTATAATGGACGAAAATTGAAAAATTACATATTTAATTACGGATTAAATGTGATTCCGTTTGTTTTGTAATTAGATGTTTTGCCCACACCGTCGAATGGAACAGCCCCGCATTGTAGAGATATTATGTTTTTTACTATAAATACAGAATATCTTTGGAATATACGGAGACGTACACACACGTCAGTTGTTGGCGCTGTACTATTTCACCTTTCTAATTTGTGATTTTAGCGCAAACGATAGTTGATATTTAAAAGTGATATAAGGCCATCTACCTCATCTACCTATTGAGGTCGTGGGGGGTTAAAATGACCAGCACGGCGCACCTAACTTTGCGATGCTCGTTCACGTCGCAGGTGGCAAACGCTATGTATTTAGCTATATAACATGACCAGCGTGGCCCTGATGAACTGCTGTTGTCACTTGGTTTTTACGATTTTTGATACTTACTTTTCTAGACTAATAAGAAAAAGTATTATATTCCGAATCAAAAAAAAAAATACTTTAATTTAAAATTGGATTTAAAAGTTACAAACTAACCAAATTAATGGTTAATGTGAAATGTCAATCTCAAATGAAAGACGTACGTCAGGTTTAGGTAAACATCGATCGATCATTATGGGTACATTTCGAGTTCTTAGGTTTCCGCGATTATTACATATCGCGATAGTTATTATGGGTACATATTCCCATAAAATGCCCGGCACTAAATATAATCCTACACTAGAGCCAAGTAATGAAATATCGCGAAAAAATTATATACGTATACAAATGGGACCAAAAACGGTCACAAAAGCCAATGTCATATTTTGAACATTTTTGGAAATTCTAGTCGGCGACGAACGTGTTAATGTTGATTTACCTTCTCGTGGAAAGTGGCAGGTCCGAGGCTCCTGTACCTCTCCTTGATGACCTTCATCGTGGTGGCAGAGCCACTACTCGCCAGGGACACCTTCTTAGCCGCTTCACTGTTTGGTCTGAAAAGATATGTTACCACAAGTTAATAATTTAAGAACGTAATTTTTTATGCTGCCATTTTGTCGTGTCGTAGATGTCATTACTGATTCATATCGAATGTTTTCTTGTCTTCCGTAGTGCGTTTTTACATTATTATTTGTTAAAGTCAAGATAATTAAAATTGTAGAAATCGATAACTTCCCTTTTTCCAATTTCGTTAAAAATACCAGGTGCACAACTGGTTCTATAAGTCGTTTGATATAAAAAAAAGCAAAATTACAAATACAAACAATAGACAATAAGAAATCGTGCAGAGAAAAAGTACCTGAAAAGGCCCATGTAAGTGATTTGCAACGCGGTCCAAACGAGGAACTGCATGATCAACATTGGTGGAGTGCTGTACGCCATGAACCAGAAGAAGTTTACTGACTGGCCCAGTGCTGGGAACTCGCTGTAAACGGAATTGCAGTATTTTGAACAATCATTTATTTATCGAGTTTTTAGGTTTTGCGTTTGTTATACATTGGAAATTAAAGATAAAGATAAAGATAAATTTATTTCTGTATAAAATACTAACCTAAATACATACATACATAAACCTTATTAAATAACCTATTATTTACATATATGCGCCAAATTGTCGCAAACAATGAAATTATTTTATGTTTACATTACTTTAATTAAGGTTAGTAGTGCAAATTAATCTAGGTGATACCTAAACTAAGTAAAATTATTTACTTGTGTCTTAGGTATCTAAATTGGTGATTATAGCATAACGGTTAGTCAACATATTTTGTTCTTAATTAAGCTGTCCTTTCGAATCTAAATCACATATATACATTTTTTACTTTGATTTATTACACCAAAATATGTTCACAATCATTATTTTCAGTTACACTTATATGTATATTCAAATCCGCACATGCACTTACAGATTGAATAGGTTACTTTAGATGCACCATTCACACTTTATTATTTTCATGAACAATTTACCTACTAGTCGTTTATTAGATCTTTCATTACAAATAACTTCTAGATTTAGTACCTCTCGTTGGTTCTGACTGAAAACCAGCGCCTTAGGAAACTTAGACATATGCTAAGTCAGCGCCATTTCACTGCTATGACAAAAATGTTTTATTTTTCCTGTTGTATTGAATCTGTATTTGTGTCATACTAGTGAATAAAGTGTTTATCTATCTATCTATATTTGTACTTCTATATAAGCCGATATATGAGTGCTGTAGTATAGCTGTCATTTTCATAATTTGTGCATAATTAAGTCTACTTACGAGTCGAAGATTCCCTTAAAAGCTGAGTTGGTCGCAGTGCCGACGAGCGTGCCGCAGCCTCCCAAAGTTGATGCATAAGCGATGCTTAGGTAGTAGCAAATTGTAATATTGCTCGGCATTAGGGGTCTGGAATTTGACAACACAAAAATTAAATGATATTCCCGATAAATTGGGTAACTTTGAATTCCCTTGTAACTCTGAATAAAAGTGGATTGAAGAATATTTTTTTTTTTATCAAAAAACTGTAGTAACATTGATATCTGCACGAAACGAAAAGACCAAACTATATTCTAGATGTCAAATGTGACAACATCTGCCGTCCACTAACTGAGACGCGGGTATGTGAGAAATGGTCAAATATCCGTTTTAAATAGCGAAAAATAGAGCACAACATTGTCTTTTAATAATCTCAGTACAGAGCACTAAAAAAACCGACCTCAAAAGTATTTGCCAAGTTTTTTGAAATAGATTACCGGAAAATGCGCAAACCCGGATTCATCCCCTAGTTCGCCACTATACGGAACTTGACACAGGAGATAATAAAAATCGATTCTCACTACTCAAAGTATATTGAGAGAGAAAAACGCCTTGAATTAGAGAATAGCAATTGCTCCTTATAATAAAATTTTGGCACTATTTATGAAAATGAATCTTCATGCGTGAACAGCCATTCTTAGAGGTGGATGATTTTCTTCAAAATTAAATGGGACTTAATGGGACAAAATTAAATTTTCTTATTGAACTCGTTGGTACAGGTACCAATTACTAATTGGTTTTTTTTTTACCAAGTGACGTGACGAACAAGTCGTGCACCTGGTGGTAAGCGACACGCCTGTCCATAACAGTTGCAGTGCCACTCAGAGCTTTAAATCACAAAGTCTGAGGGGCATTGCCACTGCGCCCATCACCATGATCGGAGCCACTTGACTGTGGTGGTCATCAAAAGTCTATAGCACTTCCGCATCCGTTTTCGTTTCCGCTAAGATTTACCTTTGACATCTGTTTCCATTTCCATTATGACACTTAAGTCGCATCACTACAAATACATAGACTAGCTATGTCGCTCTGTCAAAGACAAAGATTAAACTGAATACTCACTCATCATCACCGGTCTTCGTTTCAACGGGCTTCCCGTTCTCCTTGCCATTTTCTATTGCCTTCTTCCTGTTCACGTACACCTCACCAAGTCCTTGCTGTCAATAATACATTTTAAATTTACAAAAATATTTAATACTGTAAATTAAAGTGCGAAAATGCTAGTTGATTTTAAGTTGGGGTGATAGGGGTGAATTTTCACAAATGTTCGAGTTGCATATAAAAACTGAATTCTTTATAATTCCGCGTGTACAGGGAGATGAGTGTGGAAGGATACAATATTTACAATCGCTTTATATGGCGTATACTATATCGAAGAAAAGAAAAACTCACAATATTTTTAAGGATAAAATGGCACCCTTTGTAACGCCAAACAGTACTTAACAGCAGATAAGCACCTCAGTCTTCATCGAGGTCAATTTACCTTTTATAAATCCTTGGTAGATATATCACCCTTTGAGATAGAAAGGCTCGCTGTCAGTTGGATGATCTGGACTCGAGAGAGCCTCATTGGCTGCAACTTGCTCATAAAAAACAGTAAGAATTAAAGGTGCCTACCTGTTCTAATACTTCTAAGATAGCTTCTACGATAGGAACCATCATGGTGGTAGCGGCCGCATTGGACACCCACATTGATATGAACATTGTTACGAAAGTAAGACCGAAGTTCAATCTGAAAAAAAAATAGAGACACAAATATAAAAAAAAGGAATGTTTGGACGATTAATTTGGATGGATTAATGAAAAAATAAATAAAAATTCGATTTATCATGATACAAGATTGGTTTAACGTGAGACGTTTAGATCGGTTGATCGATTTTGTTACTGTGATCTATCTCTTTACGTCAGCGAACCTCTTTCAATGCGGACAATCTTTTTCTTTATGCTTATAGATCTCTTCTTTACGTTGGTCGAGCTCTTTCGTTACGGTGATCAGTACGCTACGTTGATGGATCTGGATCCCCACGTTGGAAGATCACTTGCGTTACAAAAAAATTAATTGTACACTAATTAATATCTTTCGTTTTGTTGATTCTCGTTTCGATACAAATTTCCATCACCATACTCGGTATGTTGTTTTAATTTTAATCACGATTTATATCAAAAACAATAACCGATATCATTCATAATAAATAGTAATACCATTTCTTTTTGTGTTTAAGAATTAAGTTGATGTCAAACAGAGCAAATACTGCGATTCCGAATTCCGTGGATAGATGGCGTTGCTTCGATTTGCAACATTACATGCAAGATTTTATAAATTTAAATGTAATTTATTAAGACAAATTCACCTTCTATGCGAACAGCCAACAACTTGAACAGTCCATAAAGCAACTCTTCTCGGCAGCTTAGAATGCTGAACACCAGCGGCAATCATTAGACCACCGAGGAACATGATATTTGTCTCTTTCATATATGCTGCACAGGTCTTGTCAGAATCCAAAATTCCCATAGTAGGGAACAGTACGATGGGCAGCATGGAGGTGACTGGCAGAGGTAGAAGTTCGAGGACCCAGTATATGGCCATTATAAGAACTACGTACATGCATCTGAATTTCTGGAATAAAAAAACATAAAAATGTCAAAACAGGGGTGACCTGCCACACGGTGGCAATGTGAAATCTCAACGGTACCCGCATCTACGTTTATTGGTTGTACCTCACTTAACTTCAAATGTTTCTGTAAACTAACAAGTGGACCTATGTGATTATATAAGTTGACAGTTAATAAAAATGGAAGTAAATTAATTTGCTACTCCGCGAACCAAGTGAAGTTTAAATCGTGGAAAATAGCTGCATGCGCTTGCGTTGAATTATTTGTCGATGCAGTTAATTTCCCCTTAGGTTGAGAGTTACACGTAGGGTCATGGAGCGCGCCATGGTCGGCATCAGCCTTATAGGCCGAGTTCCGAACGTTGAGATCCGACGACGGACAAAAGTCCAGGATGCTGGAACTCGGATCATGGAACTCAAATGAGGTTGGACGGGACAAATAGCAAGGCAAGGTGATGATAGGTGGAGCAAGACCTCAACTTATTAGTGGCCGAGGATAGCCAAAAGAAACGTCGCGGGGCGTCAAGGGATGCAGCTAGCACAGGACCGTGGTGGATAGCACAAAGTTCTGAAGGCCTATATCCAGCAGTGGGTGAAATCAGGCTGCGGATGATGTAAGTGATGATTACCGTCAATACACAGAAAAGTAATAAAACAATGAATACAACTTACTGGTCCGTCATTTAAAAGCGGTATAGGCAGCAACAAAACCGGCGCCAGAACGACAACTAACGCCTTCCAATATATAGACAAAAACAAGCTGATCCTCTGCCGTAGAGACGCGCTTGACCTAGGTCTGGAAAAGAAATAGGTCGTGCCGCTGCAAGAGAGAACAAACACGTTAGAACACCTTGTCTATATGCCCGGGCGGAGTTAGTGCGAACATGCTGTGAACAAAAAATCAAAGACAATTAGTGCCAGTATTTCTTTTCATAGTTAAAGTTATTAAATTACAGTTTCAAAGTTAAGTTTGTACTAACAGATAAATAGAACTAAATGTAATGTACTATTGTGAATGTCTCTGTTAACTTGTCGAAAACTCATATAAATAATTCGCACCCATGATGTAATAAGGCCATATTTGCAAAACTACAACTTTTTTTATAATACCAAATGACACGTCAGCGACAGGTCTGTCTATAGCAGTTGTAATGACCCTCAGAGCTTTAATTTGCAAAGATCTGAGAGGCACAGCGCCCGTTACCCTGAGATATAAGATGAAAACTCCCAAGTGCCTGTAATTTCACCAGTACCCTTACACTTCAAAGTCAAAGTCAAACAATCATTTTTTCCATAAGTAAAATGTTTACACTTGAAAACGTCATTTTTTAAGCTACTACTCGCTTACTTTCCTGAGAAGAACGAGCAAGAAACTCTAGGGATTGCTCTTTTCAAATAAACTTAAATGCTATGGAATACACATTGAATCATAATTGTGTGGAATCTAAACTCAGGTTGTCTTTCCATATTTCTTTATCTAAAACCATCTAAAACATACTCTCCAATTTAGTAGGTAATACGACTTTTGAATTAAAATACTTTTAATGTAAGTTTTAAAATTAGGAAATGATAATCTTAATATTTGCTCCGGAATCTTATTGGAAAAACGTATACAGTTCCCCTTGAAAGAGTCGTTTATCTTGGTTAAACGAAATCATGGTCCCATGAGTTTGGACATGTACTTCTAAGGTTAATATTATGAATATCATCTGTCTGAATGAAATCATGTACCTATATTTTTAGGGGCATGTAAAATATTTGAGTAAATGTACTGTGATGCCACAGTCATGATACCAGTCTCCTTAAACTTTCTCTAAGAGAAACCCGAGAACCTAAACGGTACTCGGAGCGACTCGCTCGTTTTTACAACACAAATATGGTTTGAATATCTGCCGTTTTACCACACATGAGAATCCCGTAGGACATTATACTATGAAAGTAAGTAAGCTAGTCTAGCAGTAGCAACATCGGTAAGCTCACGTATTCTACGGAATGCGTATGCAGCAGAGCTTAATCTGCTGGTTTACGAAGATGCTCACATTACTGCATGGCGGCAGAATGCAGTAGTAGTAGGCAGTAATTCCCTGGACTCTTTCACAAGAAGCTCTCTTACTATTAATACAACTTTTCAGGAAAGAGGTTTAAAAAAATCTATGAACAAAATCAGTCGATAACTTTTCTTGTACTTAAATAAGGGAGTGATAAAATTTCATATTTTGTTTCACGAAAGTCGTATTATTTTTATGACTTACATGTAATAAAATATGAATATGAATAAAAGCTTTACATGTAACTCATATGATTTGTCGTATGATTACGTGTGGCTTTATTACATCAAGTGTATGAATTACAGACTGTATAAAAGAAAGGACTTAATTGAAATAAATAATAAAAACATTTGAATAGACATACTGGCGTTTACGTTAAGACATTCCATTAAAAATGATAAAAGAACCATTAAATTATGTACACACATGTCGATGACACACATACATTCACTTTATAAGAAATAGAAAGAAATAACATTCAGTAAAAAAGACAAAATATAAATAAGTTCTAAAAAGTGTTCTTAAGGGACACTATAAATTGTTTACACTTCGTCGGGGATAGTGCTATTACGCGTAACTAGCATTGGATTATGATTTTGCATTTCGGTAAATTAGTGGCAAATCAAATCCGCGTAATGGGAATCTATTGTTACCAGTCCGTAGACGACTTAAATTAATGCTTCCTGTGTAAAAATGAAAGTTGTAGCCATTTAAATAACAAAAGTAATAATGTTAAATCTCTCCTGTAAAATTTGGTCTAGTTCAGATACGCGCTTTTTACCAATGCTATATACGCGCATTTGCACTGTCCCCGACGAATTGTCTCTCGCCTAACTGTCGAACATTCTTCTTTTTGACCCGCAGTCAATTTGTCAATTCTTTGAAAGATATCCGCAATTTAATACTAATTAAATAGAGCACACACATACACACTCACACACACATATTACACACGCAAACGTAACACACATTATCGTTAATTATAATTTTCTTTGGACTTTCCTACGACCACCGTTTTTCAGTTTCTATACTTTAGCATTAACTTATCTTAATTTTAATATAACGTAAAATGAATTGTTGAAAGACTTTTTAAATTACTAAATAAATTTATGAATTAAGAACACACATACACATAAGTACATTTTAAAAAACGGTAAAATTTGCACATAAATAAATAAATTATGGATTTTTAGTACCGCATGTTACGTCTCCAACTATTGTTTGCTACTATCTTGTTATATCTCATACTTATGAACAGTTTTTTTTGCTTTAGTTCTAAAAATTATTTTGACACCAATTTTAAATTTTGACATTTTTTTTTACGCCTCTCAATTCCTATTCTAAATTTTCATTTTGTTTTATCGTATTTTCTTATATTGTATTCAATATCTTGACTTGCAGTGCCCTATTCAGGGTCATGTACTACACTCTAGTCGTAATGTAACACATTTGTAACACCTGACTATGTACATGTGACAATAAATAAATACAAAACATAATAAAAATCCCTGTTAAATTTATTTTCTTTTAAGAATCTACGTTTATTAAAGTTTTATATTTATTACTACACATTACAAATGAAATGTCGCTCATGACAACTAACATGGTATTATCTCAAAAATTGCGTTATATATATGTATGTCATTCGTATACAATTTAATTTCAAAGTGACAGAACTACACTGTCTGAATGACATACATATGTATGCGTTATACAAATTTTTGATATAAAATATAATATAACGCAGTTTTGTGATAATTATTCATTGACTTACAATTATATGGGCGTCGGGTCCGCGCTAAAAAGTGTCCGAACTTATAGGGCGTTAAAATCATATACAGAGCGTCATTCACGCTTTTAGTCTTCGTTTGTTCGACTGACAGCGAAGCAAGCAAAATTAGACAGTACTGCGATGACATTACAATTTAAATTCAACGTTTTAGCTTTTTCATATTCCTTTACATGTCACTACGTTTAAATAGGTTGACTTGGGACATTTTTTTCGTGGTTTGTGTATTAGACCCGTCGTCCATTTATTTGTAAGTCAATGTAATTATTGCCATAGGTAATTCCTTCTACTATGAGTATCAGAACAAGAGAATCTACTCAGGGTCACTAGCCAGAAATCACAGATCAGAACCAATTTAGAAAATTGAATAAACGTAGACATACGACTGACGGCTAGTGAAGAATGTTCGCTTTGAAAAGCTGATTATTGTCCTGCTTTTCAGTTATGACAAAAATGTCACTTATGACAGTAAGTAAGGCGAGAGACAATGTAGAGTAATAAGAAGTGGTTTAAAATTAACTTCTAACTTTAAACTGTTAATATGTGTAAAGTAAACAAACATGCGAAGTAAAACCAATATGTGAAGTAAAACCACCGTGTATGTAACCAGAAATAGAGACGAAATGTCATTAAATTTGTTTGAAAACTATTCTGCCAAATCATTACGGTGACAATTGCGTTCCGATTGACCAGCCCGAATTCCAAACAATTTCACTTGAAATCGACCAGTTTAACTTGAGCTTTGCTACAATGGACAAAAATTGAAAAATTATATATTTTTGTAATTAGATATTTTGATGTTTTTCCCACACCACCAAATGGAACAGCCTATAGTTAGAGATATTATCTTTTACGGGTTAGTTGTTGGCGCAGTACCATTTCAGCTTTCTAATTAGTGATTTCAGTGCAAACGACAGTTGATATTTAAAAGTGACATAAGCTTTTGCCTTGTCAGGCATATGGGCGTTACAACTCTCTGGCAACTGATGAGTTGGCAACTGATGAGATGGATGGCTCCTATTTCGTTTCTATTTCTGGTTATATACTCGATTAATAAAACCAATCTGAAATAAAATCAACATGTAAAGTAAAATCAACATGTGAAGTTAAACAAAAGCTAGTCAAAATAATAATTTATAAAGTTTAATAAGTGACAGTGACATATTGTGACCGATTAATTTCGTCCACTGATCCGAGTGGTTTCAGTGTGTTATTAAAAATAGTTTTCAGGTTACAATATGATTTAAAAGAACTTAAAACACTTCACAGGTAAATAAAGAACATAATCGGACATCACAAGGTTGTTAAAAGTATAAAACCCAATTCAAAACTTTAAGACAGAACTTTCTAGTTTTCAATCAAAAACACTAGACAATAAAAATAAAGACGTTTACTAATATTTCCCCTCTAATGTTTAATAAGAATATAAACAAAACAACAACAAAAATGTGAAAAGGGGATCAATTTTTGAAATAATTTTTTATGGTGATTTTTTAACACCATTTATTACCCCTCCTTTGTAAAGAATTGTAAATCCAAATTCTCAACTATTAAAATGAACATGACACCTGGGATTCTTGAGGAATTCCAATGAAATGTGATATAACTACTCATTCCTTTTTTATTTAATTTTATAGGTCTAATGGTGAGCAATATAGACATCAAAATAAAGTGATTCATATTCTGGCTTACAATAGATTACTTAGGGATCAAAACAATGATTGTAGAATCACTTCACTTAGTTTTGAACTCTGTAATACCATTGTTAAATATCTGATTTGCTTGAAAATTCCCTAACTCTGGGTATTTATTAATTTTTGGTGAACTCTGAATTATAATGGGTAATGTCAGAATATCACCAAATGCTATGTAGTCCATAGTTATATACCCATTTGACATAATATTTGTTTTATTATTCATTTGCTTATCTTTTTTATTGCATTCCATGTCAGTAAAGTAATTTTGATTATTTTTTTAAATTGTTTCAAAAATACATAAGTCTGCAATTTCTGTAATTACAATACAGCTTATACAAGTCACTTCACTTTCTTTTTATAAAAATAAATCAAGGGTTTTTTATTAAGTGTGATGCATGTAAACTTAAAAAAAGTTTATTTCACATCAAATACAATACAGGAAAAAGAAAATGCAAATTAATAATAGACTCATATGTCAATGTGTTTAAGTTGGCTACAGATTATTTGATTTATGTCCATTTGCACTAGACTTAAATGTCTTAAACCAATGCTTACAATACAAAAGACACTCTTAATACATTGAAGCATTGTTTTAAGACATTTAAGTTTAGAGCAAGTGGACATTAGAATTTTCATACATTTTAATGATAGGGCTGTATCTAGAATTGTATTTTGAAAAGTACCTTCAAATCAAAAATCGATCCCTATGAAAGTTAAAATACAAATCAACTTGTGAGAAAAGATAAATCTAATTGATTGCCATGCAACTTGACAAACAGTGCAGATTTGGAGCCATGCCGTAGCCACTTACACACAGTTAGTACCGGGCTAAGGTGTTTACGTGTTTGGCTAATATAGAAACTGCAAGAAAACACTTTTTAGGTCACATATCAAATATATTTCTCCCTAGAAATCTGCAGATTTTTTTCAACCTGAATTTCCCTAAGGTCGTAAATTATTGCCTAGTGGAATCCTGTAAGTAAGTACCTTGCTTACTCATGGTACCTTCAAATCATTTCCTATAAATATAACTTTAGAATAATATTCAATTAAAATACTCACAGTCTAATTACCTATTAATATACTATCATAAGGATATATATATCATAAGAATTAGCAAATTTCATCAATGAATTTCCACATTTTGTAAACTAATATTTACTTAAGTGTTTACAAGGTATTGTAGAGAAAATATGTTTACCGAGCTTCGTCGCCGACACCGTTCTCCGCTGCTGACGACATTTTCTGTTACTTTTGCAGTAAATTCTACAGAAAACTCAACCCGAAACTTGTTCAGTTTCCCCGCATTCTTCAAGCGTCTGTAAAAAAAGAAAACATAGTTATTAATGATCGCAGACTAATAGAAAAATAAAACTTGGTAATACGATAACTAATACTTCTATAAAAGACAATAATAAACGTGAAGTTCAGATAAAATCAAACTACACTTTCAAACTAAACGAAATTTAGACAAACATCGTGTATCGTGTACATACTTCCAAATCAGCTGTCAAATTGCGCTTTAGTAAGTCCATTATAACCACAGAATAACGTACTCAGAAGGAGATTCTAACATAAATCGATATATTGTATGCGCTTAAGATAACGCACACATCGAACATTAACATAACATTGAATATTTTTTAATTCTAATGTTTCTACTATTATAATCAGTAAATAAATAAATTGTAAGGTATACTTATTTCATACCGGGCTGATATTATATAAGAATTTATAAAATCTTTATTTAAAAAAATCGTTGTGTTCTAGGAATCGATGGATCAAAAAAGTTACAAAACATTAAACAGCTCAGCAACTACCCATGTACGCAGTAAAATGATCTATATGTTTTATTTATACAAAAAGTCCAAATTAAAACAAATACCCACATGTTTAAACAACTGCCGCCATCTGTTATAATAGCCCTTTAAACTTGTGAATAGTACGAATATCGACTCAAAATTAATCATAAAAGCCCATTAAATACAAAACCTTGATTGTAATAATCGTTTGAACTAGGTGCTAGGTAACGGTTCCCCATTGTTCCCAAATAAGGCGGTTATAATAATTAATCATTATCAGCAGTTGGTAATAAAAATGAGTTACATATCATGGTAGATTTCAGACAAGCTGAATTGGCAACTCTGCAATCCAGTGGCACCAACATAATTAAAAATACTGTCAATTTAACCGATCAAAACATTGGTGATAAAGCTTTTTAATTTAGTAATTTATTTATGTTTAATGTGGATTTCAGTGGTAGAATTACTAAAAAGAACTTAAGTTTAATAGTTCGCATTCACAATGACTGAACGAGATGCGAAGAAAGAGGCTGAAGGTAAGTTTTCATGTATGAAAATGTTATATCTAGTTTTTTACCGTATTCTTAATTATATTCATTGCCTATTGTATCGCCGAGCAACAGAACACAGTAATTGATATCTAAAGTATCACACCACGCCACGTTAATAAATATTCTTATGTATTATAGTCTTAAAATATCCATAATGAAACATAACCTCTCCCACATTATTTTGTTATGAATTTTGGATTACAGAGCCAACTGCGTCTGTTTTGTGTCTTATTATTGCTTCAAAACCGGCTTTTACAGTTCGCAATCCTCCTTTAGAGCATACATTATAATAACTTTTTATTTATAAGTACATGGGTCTGCCAAAGCAGTGTAAAAGATAAGATAAGGTTACTTCTCAGACTGCTCCTTTGTATATAACCACAGGTAAGGTCGTGTTATGGAGGAATTTTAAGATGGGGTTTCCTTGGCGCACTATATAATCTAGGGTCAGCAGACTTATGTCATAAAAATGGTTAATTTTTTATATGTAAATGTACATTTTTTATGTTGTTTATAATGTTGGAAGATTTTTTTTTTATAGTATCAAGTGATGTTTTTTTTAGGGTAGAAAGTGACGAACAAGTTGTGCACCGGATGGTACGCTACGAGCCTTTTCATAACAATTGCAGTAGCACTCAGAGCTTTAAATCGTAAAGATCTGAGGGGCACTGCCACTGTGCCCGTCATCCTGAGACATAAGTTGACAAGTCCCATGTGCCTGTAATTTCACCAGCACCCTTACCCTTCAAAACTGGAACACATTAATGATGACATTACTGCTTGGTGGCAGAAATAGGTAAGGTAGCAGTATTTCACTGAATGAACTCTTTTACAAGGAGCTCTGGTGCTACATAAAGAGCCATAAATTAAAGAAGTAACAAATGAACTAGATTTATGTGCTTTAATTGGTAGATGAATTAATATAAATGAATGATGTTGGTTTTGAGTTATGCGCTTTAGTCCACCGACCCTTACAAAGTCTGTCTATCTTTGAAGATGTTGTAAAATGACAGTCCATAGAGCGAAAGTGTTGTCCTTGCATACAAACAGCTAAAGATTGTGATACAAGTTTCAAGCACCTATAAAAAAAGGTTGGCACGATTAAACTCTTAATTTGTTTCATTTGTAAATCCGAAACAGACCTATTTCTAGTTCTTTTGGACGGCCAGTTAACTTCCGCAAAGTAAGAGTTAAATTATTTTGATTTAAATCATGATTTGATTATAATGTGGTTAATTTTATTTACTTTCACAGAAATCAACACATAAAATTAGACAAATATATTTTAAAGACTAGGGTCTTTTACAACTGAGAAATCAATATTATTATTATAATACTTAAACAAAAAAAAAACTTGCCATGGTTAATTAACCTTTTACATTACTATGTTTTACGCAAAAATATAGTTAAACTGTACGATAAAATGAAAAAAAAAAAAATTGTTATTAATTAATAATATTTTAACTGATACAGAGGCAGTTCATTATATAAATTAACTGCCTCCGTGGCCCAATGGTTACCATGCCGGACTGCCACGCAGAGGTCCCAGGTTCAAGTCAATTAGGATTTTTTCAAAAAATCATGCTTTATTTGATTTTTTCAAGAAATCATGACTTTTTCAACCTTGTCTATAAATGTGCTTTAACTGTTGCAATGCCATTTACATTGAAATTACCTTAGGGGTACTGCACTCATCACCCTGGAATGTAAAGTTGACAGGTCCCATAATGTCTGTTATTTCGACAGCATCCTTAATCTCTAAGGTGGAATGAAGTAACCCTCACATTATTGCTCGGCGGCAAAAATAGGTAAGGTGGTGGTTTTACTTCCCTAGACAAACCTTTCACTAAAATGATATATGTATATAATTTCTTTTCTTCTGATTTTTTGTGTTAAGTTAAAATAAAAAATACATGTTTTCAATTATTTTTTGTAATGGTGGGTGTGGTATTTTTTTTATCTTGTGGAGCGAATGGGTGATGAACCTAAAAGCTTGTAAACCTATGATTTAAAAGATAAGAACACCAATTACACTGGATTTAAACTTACAATTTTTTGATGCAACTAGTGATAAAATATCAAAATGTTTTTTTCATCACAATTTAAATAAACAACAACTTAGCAAATAATTTTCTTTCTTAACCTACGTAGTAACTAAGTAGTAAACAAATAAACAGGAAATGTACACAAACGTCAATATGCAGAATGGCTAATTCCATTTATACGTACTTTGATATGCGAAGTAAATAATTAATATACCTAGTTTGTAATAGAAACAAGTGTTTGTCTAGTACAAGTGTTCTTTAATATAAAATTAAATATTTACATGAATATTACGACTTCAACTGGACTTTGAAATAGACATTTATAAATAAATAGTTTTTACATGCAGAAGCTTGATTTTCATTGTCTCTCCCGATCGGAACTGCGTCACTTCCGAGTTTCAAATCGGTACGATAGTTAATTTAACTCACAAATCAGAAAGATATAGTAGGAATCAGGTTCATCTTCTCGCTCGGAAACCCATCTGATTTCGAGACTCGGATGGGCTACCCGATCGGATCGCTTCTGATTTCAATTAAAATCACCCTGCAGGAGTTCTTTTTTTCATGCTGAGTTTTCACAGGGCATTGTGGTTGGAACAACGATATGTCAAAAAATTTTTTTTAAGACACCAATTGACAGGACGATTAAGTCGTGCTCCTGGTGGTAAGCTGTGGCTTACCATACAGTTACTGGCAACTCAGTGCTTTAAGTCACAAAGACCTGAGGGGCACTATCTCTGCGCCCAAAACCCTGAGACGTAAGTTGACAAGTCCTATGTGCCTATAATTTCAGCAGCACCCGTATCCTTCGAAGCCGGAAAGTAGTAATTACTTCTTGGCGGCAGAAATAGGTAAGGTGACAGTACTTCCCTGGACGAACTCTTTCACAACGAGCTCTATTGCTACTTCACACGTTTTCTGTGAACCATTTTTTTAAAATTTTTTTTTTTTCACCTTGATATTTTTCTTTACCGAAAAGTTTATGTAAATTTCAAATTAAACTTCGCACATAAATTCCGAGAAATTCTGCAACACTGCCTCTGCTCGAGCGGTGGTATATCAAACCATTAGGCCACCATAGTTTCTTTCCTATACCGGTTGTTAAACTTAATCTAGGTGAGGTTGTTAGCCGATAATTATTACGGTTTACGATTGGACGTTCTTTTGTTTTGTAAGAATTAATTTCCTTTGACGAATCGTTTCAAACGTCACATCTGCATACAATAAGGGCAGACCTTCGGCCTATGACGACATTAAGTCTTAGTGTAAATAGGTGAACTTGTATTCTAAATCAACCCGGGACCGTTCTTATCTTGCACCCACACTATAGTTCTGTCTTTTTTGAAGTAGTGTTGAGTTACTCATACACGAGGTAACTCATTTGTATTGTACCACTCGCTTGGTTAGTTTGTCACAACACCTCATGTGATAAAAAGTCCCACCTCACACCTCACCTCATGTCATAAGCATAGCCTCATGTCACACTGCTTCGAATTCAACAAATGCAACAATGATTGGTCCTGCACTGCCCGCTTTTTAGCTTACACTAAATAAAATTGTCATATATTTATACTATATCATAACACTTAAGTTATCCATTTGATTGATACCATCAAGTTATGAAAATGTGCTTATTATTCCCTGTATGTCGAGTTATTGCCGTAGGTGCAAACATTCTTACTACTACCTCACCTCATTTGAAGAAGGACATTGTACCGCCTCTTTTTTTTTGAGGTACTCTCTCAAACCCATATCATACTCCCTCACACCCAACACTATTTTGTAGATGGAGTAAAATGACAGTTCATTGTGCAAAAGTGTTGCCCGCTTGCAAGCAGCTAATGATTGCAGTCGATAAATACATATTTTATCGACTATCGCAACAAATAGCCGAATTTGTTTCATTTGCATCATCATCGGC